CTAAGGAACACATTCAAAATTCAAAAACCAAAACAAAGGATATAACGTTTGCAGCAGAACATATAAAACTAGAGACCATATCATTAATCCTAATTGTCCGATTATAACGATTATTATTATTTTTTTTTTTTTAGGAAATGCCGTGAACTTTAAAAAAAAACATTTTTACCATTCCTCGTAACTTTTTTTTCCAGCTTCTTTCGTATGTTATATTGATAAATTTAAAGGGCGTCGAGAAAATGACTTTAGCGAAGTTTCATTGAAATCGGTACATTCGTTTAGGCGCTACACTCTATAGCAACACGAGTTTTTCGGCCGCCATTTTGAAAGTAAAAGGCGGATAGCAATGTCGATAAAGGAGATTCATCCTCGGGTGGCCTCTAATTTCATATCCAAATTTGAAAAAAGAACTTTAAAGATTCCAAATATCAGTAAATAGCTAACCAGTCAACGTTTCGGTAATTCAGGTATCAGGAATGAAGAAAATTCTGAGCATACAGGTGTACATTAGAATTTTTTAATTGTTTTGAGATGATGTTCCTCTTTAGTGGGTATTTTTTAAATTGTTGATGTGAGATATGCTGCCTATATTCTCTCTTTTCAATGAAAGGTTTTGGAATCTTCTAAAATAATCTTTAATTCTTTTCTTAAATTTTTATTTTCTTCAGACAATAATATATTTTAACTGAACCCATATTTTCTTAATAAACTATAAGCTGAGGAATAGCAAGAAGTACAAGAAGTTCAGAGACTGATCCCCTTGCAATTTTGGAAAAATGCTTGGATCCCAACTTAAACAAATATTAATTTTGATGATTAATATTTTATTTTATTTTATGTATCAGTAACCATGTACGAAGGCCGTGTATTGTTGATTTTACATATTCCATGAATTAATGAATAAATTAAAGGAATTATATCAGTTTTTTTATAAAACTTATAAATTACATTATAATAGTTAGAATACAAACTTCAATGTATTGCATTAAAAATATATATAAGACAGAAAACATAATTAAAATATTAATTCGAACTTAATCAATCAGAAGGTGAACTAAGAATATTTAGTTCCAAAATATTTCTCCAAATAATATATTAGATCAAAAATCTCCAATTTTTGCTCCCTTCGTTTAATATACCACAATTATTTCTAGAACTTAACAAATTTCCAGAAAAAATATATACCCTCACATTACTTAGTTTAATTAACAAAATAGAATCGTTTTAATTAAGTATGTTACTACCAGAGAATTCTGCTAAAAATTGTAGAAGCATTATAGAAATGCACATTTATAATTGTCAAATGAAATACCGAGAGGCACAAAGCCGGGAGGGGATTGCCACTCGTCAATGTACTATCAGACAGAAAGCCTCTAGAAGTAAAAAGAAAAAAGCACACCTAGAACTTGAAACTTTTCTTCAACAGGACTGCCTGGGAACGGCGAGGTTGATGTTGCAGTAAAACTCTACGGGAAATACTGGAGGAGAGGAGAGAGACGAGAGAGAAGTCATCCACTAGTGAAACGTTTAACGACTTCGGTCATAATGTTCTCTTATTTCCTTATTAAACACACGCTGCTGCCAAAGTTGTTTTTGAGCACTTTACTAACATTATTAAATAGTTGAAAAGTTACGGGAGATAGATAGGAGCTGGCAATGGGATAGTGTTGGATAAGAACGATTAGGGAATGGGTTCGAGTCACGCAATTACTAATTATGAATTTAATTAGTTTGGTGGTGTCAGGCAGATGACAGCATCTATTTAACCGATAATGAATGAGGAATAAATTTTTTTTTTTTCTCGCTGGCCTCTGTTAAAAGGGAATCGTTAGAAGACTACAAAACAAAGATGGCAATAAATAATTACTTAGTCTGATTTCTGATTAATACCACACCTCACTTCAATACTTATTTAACCCATCATACGAGGACGGGATGGTCAGGTACGTTGGGATGTGGATCACACAGTGACGATTCTGAACGTTGTAGGTTCGATTCCCACCTGGGTCGGTTACTTTTCATTTCTCGGCGGCTTCGGAAAACGGATCGAGACATTACCACTCTGGTAAGTATGCGGCGGCGACCTCAGTGGTTGGTAAAAAGGACCATGATCGGGCTAACTTGCCGGACTAGTTCCCTCCATCAGCAACAATACCAGTAGCAGTAACTCACCATATCAATAAAACTCAATATATTAGGTGATACATTTCGAAATAAATAACATCCCCTCGAAACATTAACTCATGTCATCACCTGAAATAGGATCAAAACAAACAATAAGCAAAAATAATAAATTTTTAATTATAGGGGAGACTAGTTACGGTAGTGACAGTTTTAATTTAATTGCCCATAATTTTGTTTATAAACCAATTAGCTAAAGGAAAAATTGGCTCATTCATAGGAAAAAAATAGAAAAACAAAACAAGTGTGGACAAACTATTTTATCACTTCTAAAAAAAACAACGCAATTCTTAAGAATTTAAAACGAACCTCAAAGAGGGGAAAATTAACGTAAATAAAATTTAGGTAGGAGTATTCTTTCTTAATGTTCCTCCATTAAACTCATAACATTTTAACCAAAAACCCTCCCTACATCCTGGAACTCCTTACTCCTTATCCACTCTCTTAATACTAGGTCTCAACCTTTAGATTTATATGTCCCCTCCCATAAAACTACTTCTTTCAGCAAATCTTTAGTCATTCGTTCTAACTCCTTTTAGAACTATCTTCCTACCTCCATATACCTCAATACTCGTCCACAAATCCTTCCAAACAACTGTTCCACCAACTACTCCACATTCAAACTTCCGCTAACATGTAAAATTACTTGTATAAGTATAATGTTTAATTTCAACTACTGAACAATGGCAATAACAATAAGCAGTTAATTAGTTTGAATTTTTTATTATTTTAAGCCAGACTAATACCCATAAATTTTTAACACTGTTATTATTCTTAGGGGACTGTAGTCCCAGAATTTTTTTTTTTTTTTTTTCATATCATTCCATTAACATTTTAGGAAGCAGGAATTCCCCAAGACAATATTTGGATTGTGTTAAATCGGATCACTATACAAGAACACTCCAAAATAGGAACTATCTATTGATACTTTACTCGGTGACTGAGTAGGTTCGATAAACAGGATCGAGTCAATAAGTAGAGATAGGGTTTGTGTGTGTGAGTAAGGATGAGTGGCGTGGTATAAGCTGAGGAGACAGTGGCACCAAACCATAAACCATATGATACAAGCCACGCGGTGCTCTTGCTTTCCGTCACAGCCGAATGTTATTGTTTATGTCCACATTCCATTGGTCCGCTCTCGGACCTGTCTTTTCGCCACCGGCTATTTATTTAAAATTTCCTTTAACCTCTTCAGGAAAATAAACGATTCTTGTTATTATAGAATTACAAACTATATTTGTTTATATTTATGAGAAACATACTGCTTAAACTGTCTGAAATATCCAAGAAACTATTGTTGAAACCCGTAAAGGATTCATATATCAATCACGGAACTGTACACAAAGAAACTCATTTCTACTACGGCACACCAGTGACACTATCTTTTTCTCTTTTCACCTCTCTAACACGGCGTTGCGTAAAGATACTATTTTGAATAATAGCTCACTACCAAGAGGACGAAATACTAAATATTTCCCTCGCTTATAGTATGCAGGTCCGATTTTTAGTTTCAGAGATATTTTAGTCCATATCTTCAATAAAATTCGTTATCAGTTGGTTTTCTATACGAGTTTTCCTTTTTCGGCTCTAACACGGCGTCGCGTTAATATGCTGTTTTGAATAATAGCCCATTACAGAGAGGATGAAATACTGAACATTAACCTCGTTAACAGTATCAAGATTCGATTTTTAGTTTCTGAGATATTTTAATCCGATTGCAAAAACACTTCCAACATTTACTGGTGTGCTCAAAATAGAAAACAGCCAACACATGATATGGAATCTTTAACTATTACAGCTTTACTTTTTTCTTAAAAAGGTTATTTTAATTTTAATCCGATTGCAAAAACACTTATAAAATTTACTGGAGTGCATAAAGTAGAAAGGAGCCAAAGAAAGTATTGCGAGCATCAGAAGTGCATCGATTGCTTAGAGGAAGGTTTCTCATTCAGTTTCTTTATAGCACTAAGAGGTTGTCCTTTTTTTTAGAGCCCATTTCCGAGTCCGGAACATTACTTTTTTTCTTCTTTCGATCCACCTTTCTTCTTTAAATAAAAACATTATATACAATATGAGTTGTACATCCATATAAGTGCGCTGAAAAATAAGGTACATCAGTTACACATACATCAGCAAATGTTTATTAATTATTAATGTAAAATAAAAATTAAATGGCTGAGCATGAGCACCTCGAAAAAGAACAATAATACACTTCCGATGTTATGGAAAAATTCATGAGTACTTTTTTTCTTTATTTAATGTTACTGCGTAACTAACATGAAATTAATCATGTATTCATAGACATAGAAATATGAATACATGGAACGCATGGAGGAGAATAACCAATATTGGTAACAGATACTGATTTATCAATAACTCGTGATATGAAGACAAGGAGGTTAAGATGGGCGGGACAATGAATTACTCAATACTTGACGAGAGACTATGTGTGAAGCTAAAAGGTAGATGAACAGATAGAGTATACACAAAACAGAGATGGCGAAGAATGGTTTAGACGGCATAGATCCAAAAGGGTGTAATAAAGCCCTTACATAGATCTTTGCCGTCTGATAAAACTAACAAAAAAAAAAAAAATACAATCAACATAATAATTAGTTAATAATTTTATCATAAATCGAACAATGAATTGATAATGAGGAGACAGAAAGTTAAAGTAAGCTATGTTCCTTCAATTAATTGCCTCATTATAGATAACATTGGATGTTTTATTAAATTTTGATAAATAAGACGAGATATCTATAAATAATGTTTTAACCTTCAAAAAAAAATCATAAAGTGAAATATAAAATTCTGAAAAATAAAATAATGAATAAATTTTTATAATTTGAGAAAATATCATAAGAAATTGATCAACATTTGTTTTGTTGGCCTCAAACCAAAAGGATCGTTGTGTTCAAAAATAGTTTAAATTGTGTTACGGAAACTATTCAGAATTTTTTAACGGGTTAACACTCCATTAAAGTAGTATTTACAGCTCTCTGCTGAAGTAATATTTCTTACGAGGTTTTTGGTAATCCTAAATGATGTGAAATCATTTCAAATTGGAGGCACTTCGGCTACAAATGTTTTGCTGATTGAGACAAACGTATCTCACTTTTGACAAATGTGAACTTTTCATTACTATCGTACCCGTTACAACTTATCTATTATTAATTAACGAGGAAAGTATGGCGACCATTCGGCCAATTATTTATGTTTTCTATCAAGAGATGATCCATCGCTGAATACATTGCACATTTATTCCACGAATTTCGGCATTGAGAACATGTCTTTTATACTCGAATAACTGTTAGTTGTTCACATGAAATCTCAATAAACACAGCAAGAGAGCTGGAAAGAATGCAAGCGACTCATCTTTAAATTATGTTGTTTGTTGGTAAATAAAAACATCACGTTTTGTTCAAAGTTACTAAGGCTAAGTTTTTAATCATATGATAGGGAATTGATTATTTCATTTAAATTTGTATAATCTCTATAACCTAAATGGCGAACGGATAGCATACATCGAAAACTAATATCTGCTAAGGACAAGGGTTGATGACAGTTAAAGTAAGGAGCAGACCTCGGAACAAGAGCTGTGTTTGCACATTGCGTATGCCGTGAGGGGAGGTGAGTCTGGGGATCTCTTTGTTTCCCGAGAATATATGAGTTATTTTAATAGACATAATTACTTTATTTTTTTTTAAAAAGAAACTGAGAAATTACCGAAAAAATGAAAATGAGCATGTTTGATAACGATGACAAGTTGGGCATGATAATAATAATAAAAAAAAATTTAAAAATGAAACGAACTTCAAACTGACAACATTAAAAAAAGAAAGAGTGGTTTCAAGTCCAATAATTATTCTATTTGTAAAGGACCCAGAAAGTGTCAAAGAAAAGAACCCTTATCGGTACTTATCGTGTTATCAGTCGTCACATTTTTGAATAAATTATTTACATGTGCATAGGTATTTAACAAAACAAAAATGGGACTTTTATGTAGCTTATCTGATAGCATCGGGTAACCTATGGCTAGTAATGAATACTTGGGAACTTCCATGAACTAAACAACATAATGTAATCTTAGATTAAAAGGAATGAGTCCTTCTAAGCATTCAACTTATATAAACGATGTATCAAACCATCAGTAAGCTACAAACAAAATACCGATCTCAAGCGTTCAACTTATATGAAGTTGCTAACTTAAGCATGTTCGCTAAAATAATATAAAATCTAGAAACACAAGACGATATTTATAAAAATATTCTCAATTATAGAGATGACGAAGAAGCTTAAGTGATGTTTGTGCAGTCAGAAATAATCCACGTAATATTTTTACATTCATTTTAGGCGGGCAGACGTTTCAGGTATCATTCAGAATTATCAAGAGCCGTACTGAATCACTCGTTAGTTCAAGAACACTAAATTTTAGGGAATTAAAATGAGCGTTTCCAATAGTGTTGCCCAAATGCGAGACAGAGACGAGTCTTGATTTTACAAATTCAGACTTGGTCTTGCGCAAGAGTCTCGCAACACTCTTGCAGTTACTTACTAGCTTATTATTATAGAGATGTTTCTGTATTTTTTTAGATAGGAGAAAACTAACTAAGCCCGAATGAAAAATTAGATTGTAAGTATATTGGTTATACCAATTATTAACATATAGTAACTAAATTTGTCGAGTATTAGTAATTATTTTGGCCTAATTTTTATTTTAAAAATCGATTTTTTTTACCAGTCCCTGGTCTTGGTCTTACAACAGTTAGGCGGCCTTGGTGTTTGTCTGCAAAGTGCAAGACCAAGACCGATTTTGGAAAACACTAGTTCCCAACAAGATTTGATGACCGCGTTAAAAGTTTCAACACATTTATTAAAGTTGTAGAAAAAACTTAAGAATCGAAATAGGTATCCGTCACTTCTGTATAAAATTGCTCTGACTGTTTGGACATCCCTTCTTAGAGCCGGCGCCGGTAAAAGAACCTAAATCAATATAACTAACATGTAGCGATTATTTTCTTATCTTGTACTGATAACCTTAAAGAAGCACAGCGAGGTAGGTCGAAACATTGAGGTTTCTGAGGGAAATTTGCTTACGATATACCAACTATCGAAGTAGATAGTTGGGAAGGGTTTTAGATATAATTTAAATTGAACTAAAATGAAGAGTGGAAGAAATAGAGTTAGGATCATTTGCAGATTAAGTTATCAGTTATATTTTAATAGGAACTTGATATTTTACGTAATTAAAGAAAAATAGATGGGCTCTTTTCTACTTTGAGCACACCAGTGACGCTATCCTTTTTCCTTTTCCGCCTCTCTAACACAACGTCGCGTTCAGATACAATTTTGAATAATAGCTCACTACAAAGAGGATGAAGTGTTGAAATTTTCTCTCGCTTACAGAATACAGGTGCGATTTTTAGTTTCTGAGATATTTCAGCCTATACGCTATCAGTTGATTTTCGTCTTTCTAACACAGCTTTGCGTCAAGATACAATTTTGAATAATAGCTCATTACAAAAAGGATGAAATGCTAAATATTTACCTCACATACAGAATGCAGATTCTATTTCTAATTTCTGAGATATTTTAATCCATATGTTCAACCTTACTTCGCCATCACGGCGGTCACGTTAAGATGCAATTTTGAGTAATAGCTCATTACAAAGAAGATAAAATGATGAACATTTACCTTGCGTTTAGTATGCAGATCCGATTTTCAGTTTCTGAAATATTTTAATTCAAATGAAAAAAACACTTCCAACATTTACTGGTGTGCTCAAAATAGAAAACAGCCAACACATGATATGGAAAGCTTTAATTATTACAGCTTTAATTTGATTCATACTTTTCTCTTAAAAAGGTTATTCACAAGGCCAAAACTAGGTATCATTGATATTCAGTATCATTGGGTTATGGAACTAATGTGCAATGCATAATTTTACCAAATAATTTATGAGCCACTGACTTGAATAACAGAATATAACAAAATTTATAAAACAAGGTTACCTATTACCCATTACTATCAAATTGAGGTAATTTCTAAATTAGTGATTCAATTTATATATTTTAAGATTACAAATGATATCCAAGATTTATTGACTAAATGACTAACTATTTATTTATTGACTATTTATGGACAAAATGATATAGCAGAATCCAGGAAAACACTCGACGAAATGCCTGATTCTTTCACCTTCAGCCAGCTCGTGTTTTCGGGGATCATGCTTTTCCCGATGTCTTTTGTAGTCATGTTCACGGCCTACATGATGCAATGCGTGGTCGAGAAGATGATCGATTGGTAAATTTGTTAATTTTTTTTTTAATTAAAATTTATTAACTAATATCTAGGAAAGATATATCGCGATCCTTATTCCAAAATCTTTGAACTTATTTGTTACATATTTTTGGAATTAGGGTGGCACTATGCAAATCATTATGTTTTAATTCTCCTAAGTTAATACCATATTATAACTTTTTTTTTCTTTTTAAGTACATTTTCATTTCAATCTGTGTACACTTTTCTACAGGATCCGTAGCTCAATTAAGAAACGGATGACCAATAATGATAGGAACGACCTTGAGACTGATGGAAAATTAATTCTGCTAATAGACGATGGACACTAACTGTAAAAATAATGTATTAGCAAATAATATTCGAACGAAATCAACTAACCAAAAAAATCACAGTACGTATAAAAAACTTGAACTTCACATGAATGTAATTCATACAGATTACAAAAAGAATACTAGTACACTTTTCAGGAACCATTTCACAATTCTGAAATAACACATTGATCGAGTTACCACATGATCAGATTGAGACTTACCATATGATGACCATATGAGATTATTCATTAATCGTAAATTAAGATTATATCTAAAAATTAAAAGAGATATCATAAATGGTTGTTTTAGAGAATTTCAAAGAGTATAAATTATTACAATAATTTTCTTCCAAAAATAAATACTGCTCGCATTCTCAGCGGCATACACTTCGTACCTTTTCTCACAAAGTTGCAATAAAATACTTTTTAAACAATTCCAGAACGACAATTCAATACATTATTTATTTTTAGTTTTATTGAAGTTTAAATACAATCGTAAAAGTACTAATTTAGTTAGGAAATTTCATTCAGTTTTATGGCAACCTTCAAACACGAAATTCTTTACTAAACCAATAATTTTTCTAATTGAATATTTCATACATAATCAAGTGAAAGTAAAAAACAACAAAATGCCGACAAAACAGTCTACAGCAGTGTTGCCGTTTGTACGAGGATCCTCGTATTTGTACGAGGTTATGACGTAATGTACGAGGTACGAGGATAGGTCAGCCTCGTACCTCGTACATAAGTTTTGCTGACGTATGCAATGCAAGGTTATATTTTTATGAATGAAGTTTAGAATTGTTTTACGGTTATTTTGAATGTATTATTATTTATATTGATATGAAATACGAAACTTCTGTTGCTTTCTAGACAAATAAATTGCAATTATACCTTCTTTAATTAGAGTATGATTATTATTTCCTTCATAAAACCATGATTGTATATATATGTTTTTTTTTAATTTTCTAGAAAAAATAAATAAAAAAGAAAATTTTAGATTTTATTTAGTATAAAATAAAATATAAGAAACCATATCCATTATTTCCTTCATAAAACTTTTTTTATAAATATATATTTTTTAAAATGTGTTGTAATAGAAAATTAAACAGAAATTTTTACCGTCATTTTTATAGAGCATAAAATAAAATACGAGAAAGTATATCCATTATTTCCTTCGTAATTATTATTTCCTTCATAAAACTGCAATTGTAAATATATTCTAGATAAATTAATTTTTTTTTAAATTATTAGCGTAATATAAAAAAAAATTATTTTCGATTTTTTATCGAGTAAAGTAATTAATTGAAAAATGAACTAGTATTTCTAGTATTCATAATGGTCCCATCTTAAATAATGAAAAAAAAAAAGTATTTTTTCATTGGTCCACATTTATTTTGTGCGAGACCTAATTGTAAGCTAAATACTGAAACAATCACAATCTATTATTTTTTTATATTATAATGAATATCTCTAAAACCATTAATGCCCCAATAATTAATTTTTATTGGCCTTCCAGAACCACTAACATCCTTTCATAAAAGTAGTTGTTTTGTTTTTAGAAAAAAGAAAAAAAATTAGTCTTTCCCCCAAATTAAATCTTGGATCTACTAATGAATACTTATGAAGAGTACTTTAAGAAGTTTATTTAGCTATTTTAATTTTTATATAACGTTTACAGTAGTTTATAAAAATATATAAACTTTTGTATATATTTTATTAAGCTAATTTTACTGCTTGACCAATTAACTTTAAAAAAAGTAATGTAAAAAGGCTTTAAAATACATGAATGGAGGCAAAAATAAAAATTCTGATCTAATTTTACTATAAAAAAAAAACAAGAACACTGGCATTATAACAGTGGAAGTTATGAATGAGCAGGCGTACGAGGATGTACGAGGCTTGAGTACGAGGTTTTGTCACAGAGCGCGCGGTAACACTGGTCTACAGTCTAAAAAAGAAACATTAACTGAAGACAGAATATCACTCTATTATAACACCTTACCTACTAATGAAATTATCGCTTCAATATTATTGAATCAATAATATTGAAGCGATCTTCTTGAACGTGGTTCACAAATCGTCGGTAACGTGTTAAATTTATGAACGTGAAAAATCACATTTTTCTATTTATTTATAGCTTTATTAGATATGTACGTGACGTTAGATTGTAGTGACGAACAATCATAATAGAAAGTTTACATTGGGCAGAACAATCGTTACTTTAATATGTTACCGACGATAATACAGATGTCAATAAAATTGTCACAATACATCCCTTAGACGGTGTGAGAGCCCCTTAAGATTTTGTTTACAAAATCATAAACTTTTCTTAGAATAGCATATTAAAACAATGTAAATTTTTTAAAAAATATTGATTTTTTTTATTTTTTAGGATCGTTAGCATTCGATTCTAAACAATCCAAACTTTCTATTAAAAGAATGTACGTATATATGAATGAAATTTAAACTATTTCTTTTCCTAAATTATACTAATAGTTTTGATTACAGGTTCGATGCAATGCCATCAGTGGTATGAATTTATAAGGACCAGAAAAAAAATAATGTATACTAGATTTCGTCAAATTTTATTTCAAGTTCATTATACCTTCCAATAAAACTATTGCTTTAATCATGTTACCTATAAAACGTAGTTTTTTTAGGAGAAAATAATTTAACATATTCTTTTTTTATATTAGGATGATGAGAATAATAATTATTCTATAATTAACTAGTTTTTATACTAGGTTTACATTTATTCACATTTAAAATAATATTTATTTTTATTGATTTATTTGTTTCAAATAATCAAGTTTCATATTGAAAATGCTGTTGTTCATATGATAATGCTGTTTTTATAAAAGTAGATTTTCGGCCTCAGTATACATTTCAGAAAGCCTATGAGTGTAATGTAATGACTTCAAAAAATCGCAGAAAACAAATGAAAAAAAAAAAAGTCAGTACAATGAATCGAAATTTCTTCAAGAAGAAATTGTGTTTATTATTTTTGTTATTTACATAAAGTTATAATAGAAGTAATAATTTTCATAAATTTGTATTTTTTGGGAATGAGATTTAAAGAAATTGATACCCTGAAAAGTAAAGGTATAAACTACTGTTAACTCTTAGAAAATATGGACCTTTTAACATATTTTAACTTTGGAGTTCTACCAATGAGTGTGATCTTCGAATATCAATGGGATATTGACTAGCCATTGATATTTATTATTAAACAAATTACGAAAAAAAGATAGCAAATAATTGCATTTATAAGTAGTGTTAAGTAGGGTTTATACATGAGATCTCAAATGTCTTTCCCCCCAATTTCGCAATTATTGCCGAAAGTATCTTTCTCACTCAGTTAACTCGTTTTTAACTACATGCATGTTTGAATTTTTATTGAGCAGGGGTACCCACCTATGTCAGATTAATTAATTAAAAATTATCAGGTGACCTTATTTTAATACATTTTTTGAAAAATTTATTTATTGAAATTTACAACTGTATTAAATATACAAAACTAGTAAATGTGAACAAATCATTAATAATGACATGGACTTTTGAAGACACTACCCAATGGTATCATTCCGTAAATAGTTGTAAGTGAGAAGATCACGAGACCATGTTCTTTTCAGACACCTAGTAGAATTGTCAGGAATTTAGGAAGAAGCAAGGTTGGAAAATAATGGATCTGGATTTATGAAAGGATAGATATCTGGCTCGGGCTAAATCAGAGACATATTGATAAATATTGAATTCGATAAAAATAATAATAACATTATTATAAATAAATGTATCCGTTTTATTTGTCATGAATATATATTTGTAAATATATTTGTGCCAGACCCAGCCGACAAAGATTCCCTTCAGGCCTTGATGAAGGAATGGGAACAATAAAAGAAAGGTCCGAGTTTGACTGAGACAAATGTTGGGCCCTAATTGTCCCCACGTCACTCATTCATAGCGGGTACCGCTGAATGAACCCAGGTCGTGGGAAGGTCTCCCCTCGAACACAGACTGTTGATCGCTGTCTGCAGGCTATGCGCTTGCGCAAACATGCACAAGCAGTAGTCATAATTTACATATATTCCTGTATTTTGTGGAATCACAAAAAAACATCGCATTACATTTCTATTGACTCATTTCTACCATCACAATTTGTACTTCGTCAAATAACAGTCAAATCTTATAATGAAAATTAAAAAAATTAACTTTCACCTATACATGTGTATGTATAAAGGTTTTTGTTGAACTTTTAGTTTTATTGATACATGCCATACCAAAACAGTCGTTTTCATAAATTTTATTTTCAAACAACGTTAATAAAAGTTTTTATAAACCGTTTACATGAATAAGTTGTAATGAGAAAATAATATGCTTTTACGTTTTTATCAATTTTTCTGTATATATGTTCTATAACTATATACTTGCATTTACAAGGTATCGAAAAAATATGGCATTAATTACGTTAAATCAAAAGTATTAAACCTTTTATTTTTTTTAAACGATTCTGATAAACAAATAAAACTTTGCATTGTATAATATTTAACAAAGTTAACGTAGAAATATTTTCCACGATAAGTTGAATTTATTAGTTTTACACTTTGAGTACTGAGCGGTGTAATAATTATGAACTTCTATTATAGTATGTAATTTTTTTTACCTACAACTTTTATTTTAGAGGGAATAGATACAAGTTTAACAAATACTTTTATGTCATATTTATATATATATTAACAAAGTAAAAACCTTTTTTAAGCTAGAACTTTTATTTAACAATTTAAAAAAAAAAAACTTTATCTTTAACCTTATTTGAAAAAAAAAAACTGGTTTCAACACCTGGTACTTTTTCTTAAAATCTCTTAAAATAATTATTTTTTTGGACATTTTACTGGATATGTTTTCTTTAAAATATATTAACAAGTGAAAGGAGAAGATCCTAAAGCTAAATAACTAAATAAAAATGCATTTCATTTATTCAGTCAACATATCATGGGTGATAAATATTCAGGACGCAGTCATTATAAAATTTTTATTAGTTCCAACGTTTCAACGCTAACATGCTCGTCATCATCACAGCTCGAAACACGCCCTGACGATAACCCACATATTTATATAAGTGAATATTTATTTATCACCTGAATATTTATCACCCATGGAATGTAGAACTTCCTTTAATAATTCAGTAAATATATCAGTATATCAGTACCTAGAACAGATAAGCCAATGTCTAAAACTTTGAAATTTAAGTGTTTTGCATAATAGAAAGCGAGTATTTATCCATTAATTATAAAAAATTACAATGTCTTCCTGTTACTAGGATCTTTTAAATTAATTTATAAATTACCTTGTTTTTTTAAAGGTATACAGTGAGTAGAGAGAAATATTTAAAGGAGTGATAGCAGATCTCAAGATCTGAAAAACACTTTGTATAAAAATAATTTTATTACATAAATTGAGGTAAATCTCAAGTTTTTCGCTAATAAACATCAAATTAATAAATACGGTCTTTAAGATTATTTAAACAAGGAAGGTTTATAAAAAAAAAAAAGTGGGGTATCTTTAATATAGTTGGAGAGTAATAAAAAAAACAAATTGCGGATAATTTATGATTTTTTTTAAAAACAGGACATAGCTTATTTCAGTCACTTAAAAATCCTCATGAAGTAGTTTTAACAATGAATAAATCTACTTTCTCTTGAAGTAAATTTTCCTTAGTTTTTTGGGGAGGAATTGTTAATTATTTACAATAAATATTTCTTTAGTTATCGCTTCCTATTCAATAAAAAAACGCGGCTTACTTAAAAAAACACAAAAAATTGAATTTCTTACTTTTCTACCGAAAATTGGACCAATGTCTATATAAACTTTTTTAAGCTATTGAAGTCTATTGAAGATAATGAAATGAAAAATAATATTTCCTAACCAAATTATCTTGTTAAGTTGTACTATTTAATAAAATTGGGAAATGATTGAGGCACTGCCCACTGTAAATGGAATTGAGACTTTTATCTGATTTATTTGAAGATTTTCAGAGAAAGGAATGTCGACGAAACGATCAAATTAGACCACCCGGAATCGGTTAGTCCTGCCAAAATCACTGGAACAACAAACGATGAGCCATTTAGGATGAAAAGCGAGGCTGGAAGAGTCCTGCGTGAGATTTACATTGGCACTCCTCCAGATTGCTAAAGACGATGGTGGAAGTCGTTAGGAAAGTCGAGATACTATTCAATATGAACCTGTTCACTTCCCGGAAGAATTTTTCACAAACCGAGAAAAATTTTTTCAATCCAAAGAAACTGAGAAAATGATTACAAAAAATAAATATTAAATACTATTGGATTAATCATGTTCTTTACCTAAAAAGGAACTAAATGTTGGATACATTAAGAATTATAAATCATTAGTTGTGGTAAAAGTTTCGGGAATGATGTTGAACAGGTTTGGATACTAGACAGAAAAATAGCAGGTTAGTTATTACGTTATAAATAGAAATATTCCACCAATCAGCCTCGTATTTATAAAGGAGCATTTAGAGATTTCACGAACACTGGGAAACACATTATCTAAATAAACAAAAATGGCATTAGAGCTAAGTCCAATTACTTTTTTTTTAATTTCTCTTACTACCAATATCAGATGGAAAACATAAAAAAAAAAAGCTATCGTGTGCTCCAAAGCACAAACTAATGTGTGTGCTATAGACCACACGATAGAAGTGAAAACATCAACAAGGCGAGATTAATAACATGAAATATAAATTATAAATAATAGCTCATTATAAAGAGAATGAAATGCTGAACATTTCCCTACCTTACAGTATGTATGCATAGTGTTGCCCAAAATCGGTCTTGGTCTTGCACTTTGCATCGATATTTAAAATAAAAATTATGGTAAAATAGTTACTAATACTTGACAATCTTGGTCACTATATATTAATAATTGGTATAACTAATATACTTTTGCATTTAGCTCTTCTAATTCATTCGGGATTAGTTAGGTTTCTCCTATCAAAAAAATTACAGTAATATCTCTAGACTAATAACCTAATAAGTAACTGCAAGACTGTTGCGCAAGACCAAGACCATGACCAAGACTGAGTTTGCAAGACCAAGACTTGTCTTAGTCTCGCATTTGGGCAACAGTAAGTATGCAGGTCCTATTTTTAGTTACTGAGATATTTTAATCCATATTTTCCATAAAACTCGATATCGTTTGGTTTTCGGCAGTATTTTTTCCTTTTCGCCTCCCTAACAAGACGTCGCGTTAGGATACAATTTTAAATAATCACTCATTATAGAGAGAATGAAATGCTCAACAATTCCCTCGCTTACAATATGCAGGTCCAATTTTCAGTTTCTGAAATATTTATAAATCTTTATATTTTACTTTGTCATTTATTTTTACTTTGTATTCAACTATTAGAGAAATTCATTTAGTATTTACTGTTTTTTTCCCTAACCTTTTTATTATTTTTTTTTTTTTTATTTTCTTAGCTAAGCAGGGATTATTTTGTTTCATTCATATTTGTATGTTATATAGTTTAAATATTTTGTGTACAGTTCCATTAGTTTGTTTTAGTATAATTTGTTAATTTACATAAGGTTTTCTATTTATATAATTAACTTTTCTTATTTAATGTAGTTTCTTATTTAAATACTTCTGACCAGATGTATTTCTTTTGTTCAGTAACTTTCTGTTATTATAACTCCGTCCCAGAATAAAATTAATTTTCTATTTTTATTTCTGTTTGAATCCATATATAAAAACATTTCGATTAGTCGACTTTAGTCAACTTAATCTGAGCGTTAACACCTAGGAAATCAGAAGGATCAATCTAATTCACACTCCATAAAAAAGTGTAAAACGCGCCTGAAGAAGTGTTAAATTAAAAAAAAAAAAACATGCAAATATTTGTGTTCCTAATAGTTTGTGGAATACCTAAATGCATCTTAAAATGGAGGTTAAGTATAGAACTAATCCGTCAACGCTTGGTCAATTCAGGAATCATCAGGACATAAAAAACAGATCATATCACTCAGTGACATTCAAATACATACTAAGTTCTTTATCTGCATTTTAGAGAAACAATTATTTGGATTATTCTAATTATAACCTAATATCTTTTTCTTTCTTTTCTTCAGTTATTTATTCGTTTATATTAATAGTAGGTTACATTATTTAAAATAAATGTCTCATTTATTTAAAATAAAAGCCGTGGCCAATATGAAGTCGTCCTATCAGTAGAGAAGAAGTTGTCTTAACCAGACCATACTAATCTGACTCATTCCTATCTCATAAGCAAACAGCCACCACCGAAATGCCAACACTGTGATAATACACTTACAGTCAGCCACATTTTGCAAGAATGCTCTTTCTTTATGTCAAATTCAACCATTGCAGGACTTACAACCCCAATACCGAATATTCTAAAAAGTGACAAAAACACAATAAAGATAATATTACATTTTCTAAAATTAAACAGTGTGTCACATAAAATTATAAAAGTTCTTATTTGTTTTAGGTGAAATTATTTATAATATAAAGTAAGCATATGTTTTTATTCCCATTTTACAATGGCTACGTTTCGGCTAGCATGCCATTTTCAAGCCACTTGATTTAATGATGCTTAATGATGTCCATAATTGTATTCTATGGACTACCTAATGTAAAATGGAAATAAATGTGGTTAAATAAAAGCCTTACTTGATATTATTAAAGTTTTTTTTTTAAATCCTAGTTCAGTGGTAAGCAAAATTATACACAACGTTGAGTCCTCAAGGTTTTACGCCTTTCAGCCACAAAAACCAAAAACATTATTTTAAAATGTTATAAGTCCAAAGAAACTAGGTAGTTGAAATATTTACTTGAAAAAGGCTATAAGTGTACAAAAAAATGCAAACAAAATTACCTGAATCACATAATATGATACTGTTCTGTTAAGATCAAATTATACCTTCAATTCAATTTGTTCAAATTAAACACATTGCATTCAAATGGGCCACTATTGGTAATAATCAACCTGGTACAATGCTAGAGTACATAGGTCATAAACAAAAGTATAATAAGAAAGGTAAAGTGAAGGGCCTAGGTGCTAAAACGGGCCCAACAGGTAGCAATAGTATTGTTGCGGATAATGGGGGTATTTGAGGTGTAGCTTTGGGATAGATAAGGTATGAATTGCTATACTTATGGCTTTCCAGAAAGGGATAAGCAATAGGCTACTTGGAAACATGATTTGTACTAAGAACTTTCAAAAGAACCGTTACACCAAGAATAAACAGTCCATTAGAGCTGCTACGTAGGTACTTACACAAATGACATAATGTTTACATAGTTAAATATGTTCTGTTCCGCCTTGTAATATTGCGTTGGACAGTTATGAATGGAGTAAAATTTATAACGATGAGGAAAAACAAAATAATTGAAAAATGGAACATTCATCATAAAAATAAAATAGATTTTTATATAAAGGCTTATTTGGCATTCTTTTTTCTTTAATTTTTTTTTCCTACTAGTAATCCGAAAAAATGTCTTTTATAAATACTGAATGAAATTTTCTTAAGATCGTTCTGATGAAAATAAATTTTAATTCAACAGTAAATCCTTAGAAAGAAAAAAAAAAATAAAACAACTTGATATAAAAAGAATATAAAGAGTCCAAACATAATATAAAGGCTGGTGTTAGATATTTTACTTTTCACTTTTTTATCATCTATCCATTTTAAATTTCATTTATGACTTTTCTTTTTTTTTCATATCATTATTTTTTTCAAACCAATAAAATTATATGTAGTACATTAAAATCAACATTTTATGATCTAAAAATCTTAAGTTTCTAAACAAACTTTACAGAATAAGATTTTTTAAGGCCAAATATAATCAACTATAAAGATAAATGAAAGCAAAATAATTACAAAACAGATGGCGATATACAAACCCACTTCCACCCAAGAGAAAAAACTTGACAAGGATAAATTAAGAATAATGTAAGAGGTCTTATAACAGTTACTCAACTTGAGGCACAGTGTAAAAGTAAAAATAAAAAAACAACAATATGGAAGACATATGGACTTTAAAAAACTAGCAAGGAGGACACAGCAGTAGGAAAGGCAGAATAGAGAAAATAGAGAAGAAACTTAGAAAATATATAGGTTGATGAAAACAACATAACATAAGAGAATAATAACATAAACTACATGAGAAAATATTCATATTAAAAAACATAAAACATATGCAAAAAAAGGGATGTAGTACTTGCCTGTGACATAGAGAAGACATTATCGTAAACTATAACATTGATATCCTCCATCCGAAACCGTATTTTGAACTATTGCTTTTAAATACTGGCAATCTTTACCAGGTAAAGCAGCTCCAATATTAATCTATACAAGCAGATTTTTATTTTGCGCTTAGTCATCATATTTTCCCTATGCAAATAAATCAGTTGAAAAAGGATTTGAAGCTACTAAAAGGTATAAATACTAGTAATTGTTTGAAAGGCTCATCAAAATGGTGATGTTGTTACGTTTATTTACCCTACACACCTAACTTACTACTGAACTGAGAGTAAACAAAACTGTAGTCCACATTTTATCAATCCAAAATTTTGCTATTGTATTAATAGATTGATAAAAAATTAGAGATAACACTTGTGTTTTGAAAATAGTAATGAATTGTTCCATCTAAAACCATATTATTTTTTATTTATTTATTTTTTTTTGGCTTGAACAAAATTGTTAGAGTCCATTTAGTTTACGTAGGAACATTGAGATCATACATTTTTAACGATCTTAGCACTTTCCCTATATGCGTTTCAAATAAACGTAAGTCAAAGTAATAAATAAGAGAGCATCCAATCATGTAGTTATAGTCTTTGGACGAATTATGCCTGAAAATAAGTATTAAATATATTTACAATAAGTATAATAAAATAAGTCATTGGAGTAAATTTAAGTATGAAAATAAGTTCCCAGAATTCATAATTTATAGAAATTTTATTATAATGTATAAAGTCCATATGAATTCTTTATTGCCAAACCAATTATTCCTAGTCAAGCAGGGATTGGAACAGTTACAAGTGGAACGTTGTCTACCTTGGACAAACATATCATTTAAATACTTACAAAGTGGAGAAATCTGTATTTAATGGTTAATTACAGATAACCATGATATAATGTTGTTTTTTT